AAATTAGTTTTAAAAATAGAAATTATAGGGACCAGCAGATGGTGTAATGATTACACTGCTGGACTCTAACATAGTTGACCACAGTTCAAGTACTGGACCTGGTGGCTTGAAATTCACACTGGGTGAATGTGCATGCCTGCCCAAAATCCCAAGAGGAGAATAGAGAAGAAGGGACTACAGTGTGGCCATCCCCCTAGGGGTGATTTCTTGCTTTCTGTCTCTGTGTCTCTGTCTCTCCAGGGAGAACATAAACCCTACACATTTTTTAATGGAAATTACAAATTGTACACTCCATTCCTTAGCTAAGCAAATAAACTAGGCCATGTACAGGCTGCACCATGTGTTTCTTTGAGTCAAAAAGCAATATGAGATTTTAGAAATTCTTGGAAAATCAAAGCCTATCTATTCATGTTAACATGGTCTCCAGATATTTGAGCTCACATTCTATTTACAAAGGGTATCTTGGTTTCAGGAAACACTTTCTCTACCCCTATTAATCCTCTTTTATGATCTGTAATTAAGACATACATAATGTTTTAAATGATTAATAATGCTGTTCCCCTTATGTTTAAAAGCTTCAGATCAATAGCTTTTGAGTTCAGAACTTTGTATCCTCAGATGTAATTATATGAAAGACTGCACATCAAAAAATGTGCAGCAAAATTCCCATAATTCAATTTATACTGATTAATAGTGTCTCTATTCATGAATAAATTGAATTAAATATACTAAATGAATACAGTTCTATTCAAAAAGAAGAACTAGCTCTAGAAGAGTTAATACAAATAAAAGTAAATGTAATATCAATACACGGGATAATTTTTATTGTCTATTAATGCAAGCACAAATCTATGCATACATATACTTACATATGAATATGTGTATATATTAGAAATCTCATTTTCCTTCCCCATTTCATTCAAACACTAGTGAAAATTCCTCAGCATAATATTTCCTCAAGAAATATTTTTGTTTTGGTTGGGATTCTTTCTCCTTTAGACTAGATTGCAAACGCTGAGGTCAGGAATCATATTGCTTCATTGGACACAGATCTGGATGTATTTAAACTTTCTGAGTAAAATTAAACACTCTCCCCAGTTGCTATGGCTTGCAAGGTTTACCATTTAATCATTCAATACACAGAAGTAAATGGACTACAAACAAAGTGCAATAATTTTTAAACAATGTCTTAGAACAGGAAGCCAGCAAACTATAGCCCTGGAGCTCTCAGGTCAAATCCACGCAGCACCTGCTTTGTAATTAAGATTTCATTGGAACAGAATCAGGTCCATTCATTTAAATATTGTCTATGATTGTTTTCATGCTACAATGAATGCTAGCAATAAAATCTCCTTTATGGCTGACAAAGCTTAAAGTTTTCACAATCTAGCCCTTTATTTAAAAAACACAGGCTTCTAGATAAGCCAATTCTTTCTGTCAGTGTCATTATTATTATATTTGGTTATGAATTGAGTTTCTATATGTTTAAATATTTAAGTGTCTAATTTTCTAAGCATGCATAATTTCTATTAATGAACTGACAAGTTAACTAACTTGGGAATTTAAGAAAGCTATGTCTTTTATCAATCTACCTCCTTATTCACAATGCCTGACTTTCTAAGAGTGACATGAGTCTGCAACCTCTTAGAAAAACTACCGATTGACTTTCTAGGAAAAACAAACTTAAAGACATGCAAGACTTCTACACAGAAACTACACGAAATTACTGAGATAAATTTGAAAAGACAAAAGAGAGAGAGGGAAGACACTTCCATGAATTGAAAAGCTCAGTTTTGAAAGTTATCAATTCCTTTCACATTGATCTATAAACTTATTGGAATACTAATGAAAATCCCACAAGAGATTTTGTAGAATTGACAAGTTGATTCTATGATTTCCATGGGAAAACAAACAAACAAAAGAATTGCTAAAACAAACTTAAAGAACAAATTTTAAGGATTTATATTACTTGGATATCAAGACATATTATATCCATAAGTAATAAAGTATAATTCCTCCTGCACAGGAGGAAAGGCCAATGAATGGAAACCAGAATCTAGAAAAAAGAAACAAACATACTAATATATGTTCACTTGATGTATGACATATAAATTTTCTAGGTCACTTCTTTGTCTCCATAAAATAATGATGAATCTTAATTCTTACCTCACATAAAATATTTATTCTAAGGCCAGGCAGTGGAGTTGGTAGCCCTCATACCCACATGTGAGGGTCCCAGGTTTATGTCCCAAGGACTCCCTCAACATGCTGAGCAGCACACATAACCTGGGGTGGCTGAAGCTTGGGGTGAATGGCAGTAGGCAAACCCTTTTGGAGGTCCCATCTTACTCTCTCTAAATAAATAAATAAACTTTAAAAATTAATTCCAAATAAATTATGAAACTAAATGTGAAATGCAAAATAGTAAAGCTTTTAGAAAATAGCATTTAAAGAAAAATCTAAGATGTGGGAACAAATCATACAGTGAATCATGTGTTCTCTGGTGTTCCCTCATGTACAGTCCCATACTGTGTCAGTGAGACCTGTGACTTGTTTCTAACCAATAGGATATGGCCAAGGGAAAGGATTTCAAAGGTAATTATAGTCTCAAATAATTTGATGTAGAGTCACTATCAAAAGAGAGACTATCCTATGTAGGTTGGACTTTGTCTCACGAAGGACATTAAAAGAGGAACTGGGGACCAGCCCATGGAGTGGTGGTTAAGGTGGCTGGATCCCACATGGCTAACTATGCAGTTCAGGTCCTAGACTTGGTGGTTTGAAAAACACGGTGTGTGTGTGTGTGTGTGTGTGTGTGTGTGTGTGTATGTGACTGCTCAAAATCCCAAAATGAAGGAGAGATATGAAGGAGAGATGGAGGAAGGATTACAGCTTGCTCAAGATCATGCCCCAAGGAGAATGCATGTGTGGGCATATGTGTGAATGTATGTATGTATGTATGTATGTATGTATATATACATATATATGTATATATATACACACACATATATATACACACACACATACACACATACATATATGTGTCCATATATTTGTGTACACATACATATCGCACATGTATACACACAAATGTATGCATGTGTGTATGTACACACGTGTGTATATGTCTCTCTGTGTGTATATTATGTATGTATGTGGGTAGACATGTGTATGTGTATATGTGTGCATAGATATCCATACATGCATGCATATATATACACACAAACATACCTTTATATGGATGTATATGCACACACACACATACATACATACACACTCTCTCATGGAGAATGGGAAGAAGAAAATTCTGAATGGATTGAGAAATTCTTGAATTTAGAGAGTTTATCTTATAGTTGATGATAATTCAATTTGTGCCACTAAGCAGAATGGAACAGGACAGAATTTAAGTTCATTTGTAGGAAATAGAATCACATTTGGAGCTCCTAAATTGGGAACTGTAATTCACAGCTATACAATTGCTTTAAACTTTTGTTCCTATTGATCTTAATTATTCATATACTACAATTCAGGAATAGCTAACTCCAATGAGCAGTTTTTCTTATGTACTTATTTCATTTTTCTCAAATCTTCATATTCTTTTTATACTCTCATAGCAAAGAATGAACTGCTTTATTATTTGCTTCAATTTCATAGTCATGATGATTCTAAAATCCAATTTGTCTTAGACATAAAATATTTACTATTTTAAACACTTAGTTAATTTCTATTGACTGATAGTCTTTTGAATATTACACTCCTGAGATTGTCTAGCCCGCTACTCCTGGAAGAGCATCTAACATAATACCTTCCCAGGTTCATTATTATTTGTTTTGTGGGAAGCTTTTGTCCTTGAGCAGAGTTATAATGTTTTTTCAGAGACAGTTGGGCAAATATTCACAAAGATAAGCCAGCAGATATAACTGAAGCAACAAAAGGTATTTTAAAGTTCAGATAAAATTTAAAGAATAGAATTTCAAAGGAAAAGGATACATTCACAATTGTAGATTTATTCCCCACAAACATGCATAAAAGCTAATAGACGCAAAAAACACCCACCAACAACTGAGCCAAACATACACTACAGTCTCTCCACAAAAGAATTCTGAACTTTTCTCAATTGTACCCACTCTTTTGTGCCATTTCATTTGTAGTAAACCCTAAATACTTGTACTTTCTAGCCATAGAGAAGGTTCTATTCATGCTCAAATTTAGACCCAAGATATAATCAGGTCTAACCATATAATTCACATATTCTCCCACATGAAACACCAGCATCTCACTTGCACACACACATTCAACACAACATATAAAGATATTCTTTTAAATATCAGTCAACATGAAAGAACTTATAGTATATTATTTCACTTTAATTATTTCATCACACTTGGCATTAACTTCAGCCCCTACAGAGGACTCAGTCACTAATATTATTAAAACAGTGAAACACTATTCAGTGCTTACAATAGGAAGGACATTATGATAAACAATTTACATACATGGTTACACTTAACCTCTACACTAAATAACCACAATCCTATGAGGTAAGACCTACTATTAGCCAAATTTTATAGGTGGGTAAATAGAGGCTTAGAGAGTCTACATATAACAAACTATAATGTATAGCTTTGTGCTTTGGTGCATTCTTTGTTGCTTAATAACTGAATACCATAAAGTAGATCATTTATAAAGAATAAAAGTTTATTCAGCTCACAGTTTTGGAGAATCAAGGTTAAGGGAATCTATCCAGTAAGAGTCTTCTTCTTGGTGAGGACTTAACTGCAGAGTCCCAAAAAACCACAGGGCATGAAACAATGTGAGAGCAAGAGCTTGTCTGTGTCCACGTCTCTCTTTGGTCTCACGCTCTCTCCTTATAAACCCACCAGTATTCAATCATGGGAGTCCAACGCTGATGACTTTATTAGTTCTAATCACCTTCAAAAGACTCCACCTCAACTATTAAAAATCAGCACCTAGACTATAAAAAAATCCTCTCCACTTACCTCTTCACTTAGATGCTTGTTTCCCTTTAGTTTATTCTCAACCAAACACCAGAATGGTCCATTTTCAAGATGTCTGATCCAGTGAATCCTCCCATGGCTACATAAAATAAATAGCACATTCAGAATAAAGTCTTACATCAGCAGATAAGACCCCTATAGTATCTGGACTCCAATTATCTTTCTGTCGTCATCTGCTCTATGCTTTATTCACGGCCTTGTAGCCTCATTCATTGACTCTTAGCTAAATGAACCCACCAGGCACTTACTCCTCTCTTACCTCAGATTTCCACATAGTTTACCTCCTTACCTTTTTCAAATATTTACTCAAATGTTCTCTTCTTAATGAGATCTCTTTAAACTTTTACCCACAACACATATCAATTTTATCAGCTCATAACATCTTAAATATTAGTATTTATTTTCTGACTCAATCTATTCGGATGTAAGTTCTAAGAGGAAATATTTAGTTAGTTTTGATCAGTGACGTAACTCTAAGCTCTACAAAAGTTTCTAGAATATGATAGACATCAATAAATATTTATTGAGTATCCAGATGTCTCTCTCTTTAGATTTGTGAAGATTTCAGCTAATATGCCATGAAATAGATTTTTTTTATGACTTTTCCTGTCTTTTTGCCTTCTCAGATAATTTTTAAGTACATAGTCACTTAATGTTGTCCCAGTTTTCCCATATTTTCATTTTTAATGGTTATGTTTGGGTTGTTTGCTGTTTCAAAGGTTGTGTCTTCTAGTTCTACGATTCTTTCTTCTGCATGGTCTAATCTGTTGCAGATGCTCTCCACAGAATTACTTATTTCCTGTGTTGTATGCATCTCCAGGATTTCTTTTTTACTTTTTTTATGATAGCTATATCTCTATTAAATATTTCATCCATGTCATGAATAGTTTTCTCTATTTCTTGAAATTGTTTCTTTGTATTGTGCTGCATCTTATCGAATGTTGTTAAGATAAATATTCTGAAATCCATTTCTGACATTTCTGTGATTTCCTATATTTGTCCATTATTATTGGAGAGTTAGTGTTTTCCGTTGAAGAAAAAATATTTACTGGTTTTTCTATATTTCTTGTGTCCCTGAGTTGACATTTAGGAATGTGGAGGAGTACTTAACTCTTCATATAAAGGGGATGGATTCCCTTGTGCCAATGATAACTGCTGCCTTGTAGGGTAGTTGCCTGAGTTCTCAGATCCTGCATACAGGGTGGGGATTCTGCTCCAGATGAGATATGCTAGTGGAGATACTGGTCTAAAGTAAACAATATTTTCTATCTTCAATGGGCTAGTCACAAGAGGGATATGGGTGCTAGAGGAGGAGTCATGTGACTCAAGGAGTGGCAACTTGTTTAGTTCACCATTTGTGTGCACTTCCTGTAGTAGGAGGAAGCTGTCTTTCCAGTGCCTGAGACTCTCTGCCACCATAGATTGCTCCCATAGAGGAATTTTTGCAGGAGAGAAAGCAGAGACTGTTACTGGTGCAGGCTGGAGCTCTGAGTGGGCCTCTATGGCACTGGCAAGTGGATGGTGGCTGTGGATGGACCTGTGAGATCCAAACAGGTATGTGCTGTGTGTGTGCAGGACTCCACAGTGCTAACGGGTGCCAGTGGGTGTGGGGTATACTGGATGGGAGTTCATGGCATTAGTGGGCCAGCAGGTGTGTAATAGGGCTCTGGGAGGGCTTTTGCAGAACAGCAGATGCCAGCATGCTTGCTGTGGGTTTCTGGACCAGACTAGCAGATGCCAGCATGCTTGCTGTGGGTTTCTGGACCAGACTTTGTGGCACCAGTTCTGGCCAGGCCTCCACAGTGCCAGCAGCTACGTGGACACTATATGAGTAGGCACCTCTGTGTCACTAGTGGTTGCCAATGGGTGACTCTGAGCCAGTCCCTTGTGCTAGAAGATGCCTGAAGGTGAACAGGGGGGCCTCTGGTTTGGACCTCACAGTGCTACCATGTGCCAGTGGGTGCAGTGGGGAACTCTGGAAGGGTCCCTGGATCCAGTGAGTCCACAGGAGGTTCTAGGTGGGCTTCCACGCCATATCCTGTCTTCTCCTTTCTGCCTAGATGGGGAGATCTTCAGCACCCTCCACTACATCAGTCATCCCTGCTCTCCCTTCCTCTGACACTCACAGATCCAGAGAAGTTTGATGCAGATGGTAACAAAGCAGGCAGAGATCTGTGTCTAGAGTTTTGAGTCTGGGAGAGGGGGAGTATGGATGCTGGCCTGCCGTCAGTCAGTCAGTTGGGGTGGAATGTCTGCTTTCTTCAGTCTCAAAAATGGGGGTGAGAGGTTGAGGGGGGTGGGGGGAGGGGGTAGTGGAAGGAAGGGTATGCTCACATGCCACCTTCTGTTTCTTGGAATAGTTCTCCCACTGCACTGCTCTGTCCACATTCTGAAGTATGTAATGCTGCTTCTGCTTGCGTGCTGGTGACACAGCCCTACTGACTGCAGCCACCCATGCATGCCTGGTGGCATTTCAGTGGGTTCTCAGGAATGTAAAGATTCGTAGACCCTTCATCTGTAGGGCAGGTTTCACTTGAGCAGTTTCTCTGATCTCAAAACCTTGCCTCTCTAAAGTCGCCTGGGTCCTGTGACTCTACCAGATCCTCCCTTCAATGGACCCAGGGCTGTGGAAAGTGCTGGACTCCGAGGCAGCTAGGAATTCCCTGGATGGTGGTATCAGAGGCTGCTAGAAATCTCTCACTCGCCCTTTTCCTACAAAGGGGAGTTTTCACTGGTTTTAGCTGGTGAAACTCAGCTGGCCGTGTGCTTCAGTTCCTCTTCTATGTTGTTTCTGTCAAGTTTCCACATTTCAGAAAAATTTGGATCTTTCCTTGGTGCTTTGGTGATTTGAAGCGCTCTTCCTTAAAAATTTGAGTTGAAATATGTCTGAGTAATTATTATTTTATACCTTGACTTAAGAGGACATGAATGTTGGTGCTTCCTATCCACCATCTTGCTTCCTCTGGGTTTAACTTTTGAAGCTTTTTATTCATATGTCTAATTTTTAATTAGCAATATCTGGGGCTTCTACTATCAATACCAGTATAGAAATTCTTCTACCTATCCTATTCTTAATACCGTATATTATCACCTTCATCCTTTCTTAGCAACTATGACACCCACAAGATAATCCTGAAGAGCTGCATTTAAGTCCTTACTTCTACCCTAGCCAAGTGTAAAATGCCATTTCTCTGTGCATCTGTGCACATTTATCAAAAAAAAAAAAAGATGGTACAATATGAATAATATTGTTGTAATCTTATTCATATGGCTCAAAATCTTGAAAAGTCTAGGGGCTAATCAGTAAGAGAATGAATAAGCAACCTATGGTATATCCATATAATAAGGTATTAGTCAGTAATAAAAAATTATTCATCTTATAAACAGTATTCCATTATTTGGACATAACACAGGATGTTTATTCAACTACTGACATACACAACTTGGCTAGATTGCCAAAGCATTATATTCAGTGATGAAAAAAGACAAAAATTCTATATATTGTATTATTACACTTATGTGGCATTGTGGAATAGAAAAAAACTAATAAATAATAAATGGAAAAGTCGAGTAGTATTTTTTTCTGAGCATAGGGTACTATTTAATTGGAGAAGACACCTAAGGGGTTTTTCAGAATGTAGTAATATTCTATGTCTAAATACAGGTTTTTTTTAAACAAGTATATGCTTCAAACTCGGTAAACATATTGGTCAAATTTGTGCATTTTATTATATATAAATCTTATAACAGAAGATCAAGAATAACCCCATATTTAATTCTAGTTACTGATCTACATATTGAAATATGTAGAGAAAAGTACATGAACATATGAAATTTACATGGAAATGCATCAAAAACATAAAAATGGATTTGTGGTATAAAAAATTGAAAAATATATAGATATGTGATAAAGCATCTATGAGACTGTATAAATGATAAAATTAAGTTGTGCTAAAACATTTCTTACTGTAAATTCTTTCAACTTTGTCATATATTTGAAATCTATCACGATAAAATGATTTTTAAAACCTAGAATATCAGAAATGATCCTTCTATACCAATATTGCTGAGAGTCTTGATCATGAAGGGATGTTGTATCTTATCAAATGCTTTTTCTACATCAATTGATATGATCATATGTTTTTTATCTTTCTTCCTGTTAATATGGTGTATTACATTTATGGTTTTGCATATGTTGAACCAACCTTGCATTCCTGGAATAAAGCCTACCTGATTGTGATGTATAATCTTTTTTATAAGTTGTTGGATACGATTTGCTAGTATCTTATTGAAAATCTTTGCATCTATATTCATCAGAGGTATTGGTCTATAGTTTTCCTTCTTTATCCTGTCCTTATCTGTTTTAAGGATAAGAGTGATGGAGGCTTCATAGAATGAATTAGGGAGGGATTCACCCTTTTGGATCTTTAGAAATAACTTGAGCAGAATGAGGGTTAACCCTTCTTTGAACATTTTATAGAATTTAGAGGTGAAGCCATCAGGGCCAGGGATTTTCTTTGTTGGAAGGTCATTTATTACTGATTCGATCTCTTGGCTTGTTATGGCCTATGCACAATAAAAACTACCTATGAAAAACCCACAGCGAACATCATCCTCAATGGAGAAAAGCTGAAAGCTTTTCCACTAAAAATGGGTACAAGACAAGGATGCTCACTTTCTCCACTCCTTTTCAATATAGTATTGGAAGTCTTCACCAACGCAATCAGAAGAGAGGAAAATATAAAAGGCATTTGACTAGGAAAAGAAGAGGTGAAACTCTATTTGCAGATGACATGATTGTGTACATAGAAGACACAATGGCATCCATGAAAAAATTCCTGGAAGTAATACATGAATACAATAAAGTTGCACAATACAAAATCAACATACAGAAATCTATAGCATTTCTATATATGAACAGCAGGCAGACTAGATAGAACTGAAAAAAAGCAATTCCATTTACCATAGCCACAAAAAGTATAAGATACCTAGGAATAAATATAACCAAAGAAGTTAAAGACCTCCGCAAGGAAAACTACAAGGAGCTAAAAAAAGAAATCAAAA